CCTATTCGCTTGATTTGAAGCCCTGTATTGCTTTCAGTTTTGTTTTGACCGATTTTATTCAAACCTATTGTTTGATAGTATCAAATCTGATGGTACAGGCAACTACTTTGAAGACAATAAGATTCACTATGATATCCATTCTGGTTTGACTATTATCTTCCTTTGAAGTCCTATAATGTCTCCAGTGTTTTGTTTTTATTGGTTTTGTTCTGTACTGTTTTGTTCAATTTTATTATGCCTGATGATATGGGCAATTCTTTTGAAGATAACAAGAGGCATTATGTAGCCATTATTGATCTCCTTGTATTTTGTTTTTAAGTCATGTATCATGTTTGCTTTGATTGACTCTATTTTGTTTTGCTCATTTGGTTTTATTCTCTTAAAAAAAGAAGACAATTAAATGGGGACCTCTTAGGTTTAGGGAGACTCCTGGACAAGATTCTCTTTGGTGAATAAAGGAGCAACTGCCTGGAAATATTTCCTTCCAGTTTTTGTTTACTAACAGGAAATCCTGGTAATTTCCACAGTCTTATGGGAAATATACTCTAATAAATGTTGCTAAGTATATTGTTGTGATATGTTTATACTGGTTATATCAAAAGGCTAAGTTTTAGGGGGTAAAACAATAAGATACTTTTTGGAATAAAACTAAATTAAGAGACAAAGGCTTTTATATGGCTAAGACATTTATTATGGTTAATCTCTTGGTATACTAAATGTGTTCATGCCTTCCAAGTATACAGGTCTTTTAAGATGTAAAACTGGGATTGTTTATAGTGATAATCTTTTTCTTTTACATTTAGATATCTGCCTTTCTCTTGTGCTCCAGCTACTTGTAATAGGAGCTAAATGTCAAGCCAGCATGAGATCATCAGTCAAATGCTATTTCTTTTAAAATGAATGTGATTTGAATGCTACATATGTGTCCTATATTAGGGAAGCTCAGTCATCAAACAGTATAAATATAAAAATTAAAGGCTAGATATTATAAACTTCTAAGGTATAGTTATAGACAGGCACATTTTCCTCAGATGGCATCCTATTGAAAGACAACAAATTAGGTGAGAGCTTTTTGTGTCATTTAATATTTTGTGATCAAATGAAGATGTTAACTAAAAAGGCCATTCTCTATTAAGATGGATATTTAAGTATGTTGTAAAGTGATTATCACACTGAAATATTATGTGTAACTTGTGATCTCAAGTTTTCTCTGTAAACTGTGTAACTGTTGTTTGTTAACATTCTACAGGGATTCAACTAGTAAAATAATCATGATTTATAAAAAATAATACTGGGGCTGGAGGTTTAGCTCAGCAGCATAAACGCCTGGTTATATTATATTATATATATATATATACATATATATATATATATATATATATATATATATATATATATATTTGTCTTTTTCGTTTTCGCCGGTACCGGGGATCGAACTCACGACTGCCTGCTTGCAAGGCAGGCACTTATGCTGCTGAGCTAAATCCCCAGCCCCCTATATTTTATATTTTAAAGTGCTTAATATTCAGGTGAGATAATAGTTAAGCTCATTGCTCCCACTACGATATTAATATTATTGATCTTCTATTCTGGGTGTTTAACAACTAAAGTTTAAAGACCAGAACTAGAAAGGTAGCTAGACTAAGAGGACAGCCAATATTTTGCCCTGGCCTCCACAAAGTCAACAAGGGCCCAGGATATGAGAGAATCTTTTCTACGGGATCCTGCAACTTTGGTGAGGCACTCAATCTCCTGAGTAGGGAGATTTCTGGATCCCAAAAGACAAAAATCAACAAGTATGCAGTGTGCCAAAAGAGAGTCACCAAGAGGGAAGGTCCCCCATTCATTCACAGAAAGCAACAAGGTCAAGCAAGACCATGATCATCTTAGTTATTTTTCTTACTGCTGAAATACAATACCAAACACCCGTAAGTTAAGGGAGGAAAAATTTATTTAGCTTAGTTTGTACAGGTTTTAGTCTATAACTGGCTGACTCCAAGGCAGTGGCACATGCCAAAGAAGCAACAGTTCAAGAGGCAACAGAGGGAGCTATGGAGGGAGGACGGGAGGGACAGAGGGACAGAAGTAGAGGGCTCTAGAGCTCTGTCTCTTATATTCAGCAATCACCTACCCTTAATCCCAGCATTGCACTACAACTCAATCACACACTCTATATTCAGTCATCTCCAAAAAAAACTCTATAACCACACGAGACTTTGATCGACATCTAGACACTGACAGAGGAGCTGAGAGGCTCTGATCATGGTTCCAAAGGTAATGCCTGTGGAGACTTAACTGACTTTGATTGACAGCAAGAAATTAGTTTTACTTAATACATCGCATTGAACCTGGAGTGGAAAAAAATTTTTTTTACTTAATACAGGACTCACTTTAACTTGGTTTTGAACACCCATCAAAAAAAGTATAACCAAAAGATATATAACATAATGCCATATAAAGAGGCTTCAATTGTTACCCCTTTTGGCAGTTTCCCAGCTATACTAGTAGCTGATCACTATTATGGGTTATTAAGAGAAAAGTTACAGTAAAATCTATAAAAGTTTAATAAAAATGTTTAAATTTTTCAGATAAAATTCTTTCAAAACCACTACATTTTTAATCTTATTATAGCTAAAACTGGATTTATGATAAAATATCAGTCCATTAGTAGAGGGGCCTAAGAGTCAGTGAACAATTTTTAGAGTTGGCTTTTTTCCCAGCCTGCCTTTCCATTCTAGTGCTCGTGCTCTGATTATACATGCTTTAATTTCTCAAAAAGGTTATTAATTCTTGCCTAGAAGCTGCAAAACTCCAAGTAATCTTATAGATCATAACAATGACAAGTGTGCTAGACTCCTTTTTTCAAGATTCACGAGATCACCTTGTAAAGAAAGTTCTAAGTGCTAAACAACAACATAACTTCTATATGAGGCCCTCTGGAGAAGATCCCTGTCTGCAGCCTCCCCTACACTGACCCTTCTCAGCCTGAAACAGCTCTATGAAACCTATGCCCCTTCTCCCCTAACCACAGTGAGGGACAGCTTTTCAAAGGGGAGAATACTGTAGACAGCTAAGTCAGTTATAAAAATTACAGGCAGTTAGATGGAGCTCGGCCTGCAGCACGAAGACAATTGTGGCCAGAGGTATATTCACTGAAGACCAGGCTTCAAGAAAAAAAGAAATGCTACCCACACACTCACCTTTCTTTAAAAATACAGTTACAAAAACAAAAAGGGGGGGGGGTAGAGTTGCCTCCACAAGCAGAATTGGACCTGGTCACTTTTACTTTAAATTTTTTAAACCCACTTACTGAAATCAAATATACTTCATCAAAACTTCATGGACAGAAGGATAAATGGACAAGCACACCTAGGATTGAAGACCTGTGGAAAGACATCCAAACAGGAAAGTGGGATGGCCCAGTGTAGTTAATAACATGGGGACAGGGGTATGCTGTGTATTAATAGGTCATGAAATACACTGTGTTTGGAACCTGTGGCCATGGAGAGAGGAGATCTCCATATGTATGGTGGAGTCTGCTGCCACCAGGCCCACTTTGGATTTTACATTGGATTCACTATTTTAATATGTTTGTATCTTTTATTTCTGTTCTTATTCTGCTACAGGGGATACCAAACCTGAATGCTTAGACATTCTACAACCTTAAGTCACTCTGTTTCTGTTTGCGGACCAGGTTGTATAAGGGTTAAGTTGATGATCTTAGCCCTACAGTCCTGCAGCCTGTGTTATCTTGCTTTGAGAATGGAAAATTATGCACAAAGCTACATGTTTTCTGCCTGTGTGTGGTGGGCTCTCGGGGCAAGACAATATCGGCTGAAGACAACAGAAAGAAAGGCAGGGCTGGGGACGTGGCTCAGTGGTCGAATTCTTGCCTTGTGTGCACAAGGCCCTGGGTTAGATCCCCAGCACCACAAAAAAGGAAGAAAGAAAGGAAGGATGGGAGGAAGGAAGGAAGGAAGGAAGGAAGGAAGGAAGGAAGAAAGTTAGTTCCTTATCCACTTGTACAGGCATCTGGTTGTGGAGAAAGTATTATTCACTTTTTTTTTTTTTTAATTTTTTTTTTTTTTGTCTTTTTCCTTTTTATCGGTACCAGGGATTGAACTCACGACCGCCTGCTTGCAAGGCAGGTGCTTATGCCGCTGAGCTAAATCCCCAGCCCCAGAGAAAGTATTATTCACTTTTTAACCTTTACCTCTTTTGAAGTATACCTGTTCCTTAGTTTTTCAAATTCTCCTTCAACCATGTCACAAACAATGCTTAGCCCCACCCCCTCTGTGCTTCTTGCTGGCCAATAAAAGTGAATCAGTTGTGGAGGTTAATGAGCTTGTTCACTAGAAACAAGTGTCTTCCTGGCTCCCCACTGCACTTCTAAACTTGTCTTTTGTCTTTCTTTAGTCCTTGCCATTTCCCTGGCAAGTATCTGGGACTCTGATCAGCCCCTGGCAGAAAAGTAAACATTTTCAATAGCAATACTAAAGACATTGCCAAAGACTTCCAGACCTGCTTCAATAAATGGTAAGAACAATGAGGTAAGTGAAGGGATATTAGGAGCAATTTCTGCTACTATACTATTTTTAATTTAAATATTTACCATGCTTTTCGATCACACCTCACAGAATGTTCTCATTGATACACTCCATGCCTAGCATAGCGCCAGGGCTATCAAGATAACCTTAATGAACTGTGAGCAACCATAGGTGAGAAATAGCACCTCTGGTTTACTCACAGGAAAGGTGTTGTAGAAAGATGCTATAGTATACAAAGTTATACTCAAATATTTCAAGGAAAGATACACTATGGTAGTTTCTGTTATATCGAGTTATCTTGTGGTGAAACACTATGTTGCTTAAATTGTCCTGTTCTGACCTGTGTTGTTATGTCCTCTTTTATCTTAATCTCCTTCTTTTTTTATTTTTTAATAAATTAAAAAAAAAGAAAGATTAAATACCTTGTCCAAGATTCCGTAAAGGATTACTTACACTTATAATAAGCGAACTGCAAATAATGATACATGGTAGCCACAAATTTCTCAACAGGGTAGCCGCCTATAACTGGAGTGAGGTTCTCTTCACACTGTATTTTGCATTTCAGGACTTCTATATAGTGATCTGAAAACACACACAAATTTTCAGAGCAGTGCAGCCATTATTTTCTGTTGTATGGTCCTGAGGGTTGAACCCAGGTCTCACCCATGCTAGGCAAGCGCTCTTCCGCTGAGTTACATCCCCAATCTCCTTAAGATCAAGAAAATGTCAAACACCCACTATAAAAATGGCCAAAAACTGTTAATAAAAAGTATAAAAATGGTGAACAACCATTGTGAAGCAATGCTATGACTCCTTTGTAATTAGGAAATACAATCAAATCCAAGTGTGGCAGTGCACATTTGTAATCCCAGTACTGCAGGAGGCAGAGGCAGGAGGATCTAAAAAAACAGAGCTAGGGATGTAGCTCAGTGTGAAGGCTCTGAGTTCAATTCCCAGTACCCAAAAAGAATTGAAACTTACACAACTACATTCTGTAGGAGAAAAATTTAGCAGTATCTATGGAAGATTAAGAGAATAAGGAGAATCGAAATATGACAATGTGAGAGATACCAAAAACTACATTTTCCAGCCTTTCTTGCATTTGGTTTGGGCCAAATGCTTGGTTAGGGCCAATGAAATGTAGATGTAACAACCAGTAAGCTATTCCCAGTGGTATATAGAACCTCCCATGCTATCCCTGAACCCCTCTCTTTTATTCTTTTTTACAACTCAAAGCAAAAACTAAGATGTCTGCACAGATTTTGTTGGCAAGACTGTGGAGAAAAAGGCACTCTCAGACATTGCTGGTAAGAATGCAAAGTGATACTTTAAAATACTGCATAATTACAAAAACATTTCCTGCTCGAATACTAACCCACTTCTGTACATTTTTAAAACAGCTCCATATTTGGGAAGGTTTATCCACCACAGCAGAACCTGGAACAGCTCAGTGGCATGGGGCCTGCCAGGCAAGTGTGAGGCCTGAGTTCAATTCCCAGATCAAAAAAGAGAGAAAGAGAGAAAGTACGTAGTAGAAAAAGACTGGAACAACCCAAAATGTTTACCAGACAGTTGAATAAACTATCGTACACACATAACACACATGCACACACACTCACACCTGCAGTGCAGTACTTGTCACAAACAAGTGACACAACCTCTATGCACCACTTTGGATAGATTAAGTGGGAATTCAAAGAACATAGTAAAAGGCACAGTACTTATTTTATATAAAAGAACTGTATAAAATATGGATATATATATTCTTTCTATATTTCTATTTCTATTTTCTATAAGAAAAAAGTGATTCAAACAAAAATCCTCAATAAGTATGAAATCATCAAAGGATGAGATAGAAGGGCCGAGTTTTATGAATAGTAAGTTACTATGGTCTTGCTAGTAACACGTAAATTCAAAAGAGAAAATACTAATTATATTGTGGAAAATACCTTAACCAAATGCTTAAAAATTGATAGTACTGCCAGGTGTGGTGGTACATGCCTGTAATCTCAGCACTTGGGAGGCTGAGGCAGGAGGATTGCCAACAGTTCAGAGCCAGCCGGGGCTAAACAGTAGTTTAAAGGTAGCCCGAACTTACACATAGTGAGAATCTGTTTAAAAAAAAAAATTGATATTATCAATTAGAGGGTGAACTGACATGATATATGTCTAGCTGTGACACCCTAAGGGGCATATCTGTAGGGTTCCAGCCAGAAATGTACAACTTAGTATAACTGTGAAATTACAGGACAAAAACCCAAATTCAGGAATATTTATAAAGTAATAAATGACCTAAATGTTTTAATATCATCACTGGCATAAAAAGACAAAGAAAGGCCAAGCAACTGTTTCAGATTAAAGAACAGTCATGAAACACCACAACCAGATAGGAAATATGATTCTGTACTGAACTGCACAAAGAAGGAAACATTCCAGAAAAGACACTATTGGGATAACTGACAAAATTAAAATATGGATGTTGACTGCATCAAAGTATTATATCTAAAGTTCTTGAATTTAATTACTGTGGCTATGCAGGCAGTATTATTGTTCTTAGAAAATACACTGAAGCATTACAGGGTAAAAGGTCATCATATCTGCACCTACTTCCACAGAGTTCTCAAGTAAAAATAATTCTATATACAAAACATGGAAAAAAGTAATCAAGTCAATGTGGTACAATGTTAAAATCTGGTAAATCTGGGTGAAGACATGAGAATTCTTAGTACCATTCTTGCAATCTCTCTACAGATTAGAAATCATTTAAAAATAAAACCTAGGTCTATAAGTCCCCACTTATCCTTGAGAGCTGTTTTCCAGGAGACTCCCTGCTACATACCTACAGATGGTACCAAATTTTATTTTATATATACATACATTTTTTCTATCCATATAAGCCAGGTATGGTAAGAGATTAACAATCACAATTTACAGAAACAAAATAATTATAACCATATACTGCAATGAAGTTACGTGATGCGATCTTTCCCTCAAAGTACCTTACTGCATGGAACTCATCCTTGTGATGAAAAGAGATGACACAAAGCCTGTGATGATCAGGTAAATGCCCCAGCACTGTGACAGAGCACTAAGTTACTACTGGGTTACTAGAACACCAGCACTGTGATCATATGACAGTCAACCTGACAACTGGCATAACTACTAAGTAACTAATGGGTAGACACACAGTTTGGATATGCTAACAAAGAGAGAATTCATGTCCTGGGAGGAACAGAGCAGGATAGCAAGCGATTCATTACACTCTGCATAACCTCTGAATTGTTTATCTCTGGAATTTTCCACTTAGTATTTTCCAGTTGTAGCTGACTGTAGGTAACAGAAGGTAAGGGAAATACACACTGTGTATCAAAGTAGGTAAGAGCTGGTGATTCACACTTGTAATACCAGCACTGTGGGAGCTAAGGCAGGCAAGTATGAGCTTAGCCTGGGCCATTCAGTGATTTAGACCCTGTCTCCAGAAAAAACAGGGATTTGTGGGTATGTAAATGTGCAAAGGTCCTGGGTTCAACCCCCAGTATTGAAAACAAACAGAAGAACAAAACAAATTCAAACCTCTCCAGACAAGTTATCAATTTACAAAAAATAGAGAGGATAGAAGAACATGGAGATGCAGTCAGGAAAATTTAGAATATGGAAATCTCTATGAGAAAAAAAATCCAATTCCTTCAACAGCAAGGGAAAAAAAAAGACATGGAAAAATAGCCCATAGATTTACAGATGTTTCAAAGGTAACAGATTTGCTACAACTTGGATGAACCTTGCACACATCCTACAGAGCAAAATAACTGAGCATTATATGAGTGTACTCACACATGGGATCTTCAGCAGTCAAACTCACAAAGACAGAAAAAGGAGTGGTTGTTAGATGTTGGGGCAAAGGGAAGTAGAGTGAAGGCCGAACAGGTAGAGTTCTGATTTGAAAAAATGAAGTCGAAGGTAAGGGTGGTGATGATGGCTGCACAGAACTGTAAATGTACCATGCAGTTCACCATGATTTAAATGGAAAATTTCACATTATGTGTATTTCACCACAATACAAATATTATTTCATTTTTTTTGCAAGACTTTTTTGCTTTTTTTTGTTTTTGAGACAGGGTCTCACTGTGTAGTAGAGGCTGGCCTTGAATTTATGTAACCTGGACTGGCCTCAAATTCATGACAATCCTCCTGAGAGCTGGGATATTTTGAAGTTTACACAAAATTTTTTTTTCATCTTTTTGAGAGAGGGTCTTGCTATGTAGTTCAGGCCGGGCTTGAGACAAATTTCTAGCCCAGGCCGGTCGTAAACTCGCAACAATCCTCCTCCCTCAGCTAAGTGCTGGGGTTACAGGCGTGTGTGGTAACCATGCCCAGCTTTACAAACACAAAGTTCAAAAGACTATCAGAGTTGCAATGTCTGGGCCTTATTTGGATCCAGATTCAGACAAGTGGTAATATAAGATATTTCACTGTATTTCACAGGATGGCCTGAAATTGCACTCTTCCTGCCTCAATTACCCAAGGAGTAAAGATTACAGGCTTGTGCCATAGTGCCCAGCTATTCAGGACTTTTCTGAGATGATACGAACACTGCCTGGATGTTTGATGGTAACACTAAAATTCTTTCAGGTCTAGCATCTTGGTGACTAATATTTTTTAAAGAGCCCTTATCTTTTAGAGGTATATATTGAGTTACTATAAATGAAGTGATCCATCATTTGAAATTTGCTCCAAAATAACTTGAGAGAAGGAAGAATGTCATCCCAGACAGCCAGAGCTGCCAGCCTGCTAAGCTGGACCGTGGGTACACAGGGAACATCTTTTATTTTTCACATATGTTTGAAATTTTCCAGAATAAAAAGGATCACTTAAAAGGAAAATTAAAAGGTACTTTAAGAAAAAGAGATCCATGAACAACAACTGATTCAAAAAAACACATTTAAATTCACTATCTTTAAAAGCACTTTTTCACAGGGCAGGATGGTAAGTGTATTTGGCCAGGGAGGTGCACAGGGCTCTTTTGACAGGGTCTGCAGCCCTCCCAGTCATATCTAAGAAGCACTGCACACAGACACAATGCTCTAGCTAGCCTGCAAGCAGGCCTGTGTGCTCTTTCTGCAGGGCACAGAAGGTATCAGCATCCACAGTGCTCTTTGGGAATTCTTACCTCAGCCACTTCTCATGTTCTAGAAAAATGCTGCCCACTAATGCATTTCAGGGAAATCTGGGCTATTGACAGGTGATATTTCAGGGTTTCTTTCCTTCTTCTTCTTTGTGTTCTCTAAATTTCCTAGACACAGCAAAATAAGATAATGTATCTGGCTATGATGGCACATGCCTACAATCCTTAGTGCTCTGGGAGGCTAAGGCAGGAGGATCACAATTTGAGCATAGCCCATGCAACTTAGCAAGACTCTGTCTCAACATAAAAAGAAAGTGGAGTTGGGTGGACAGCCAGATGTGGTGGCACATGCCTGTAATCCCAGCACTTGGAAGGCTGAGGCAGGAGAGTCACCTTGAGTTCAAGGCCAGCCTGGGCTCCATAGTAAGACCTAGTCTCAAAAGAAAGAAAAGAAAAAAGAAAAAATTAAAAGCTGAGGACGCAGCTCAAAGTAAAGTCCTAGATTCAATCTCCAGTGGCACAAAAAAAAAAAAAAAAAAAAAAAGAGAGAGAGAAAAGAAAAAGAAAAAGACCTAAATGTTACTTTTCTTAAAGATTCACTCTAGTCTTCATTCTACCATTTTGTATGCTGCAAGATTGCTATTTCTATACCTCAGTCATATGAATTAATGGGTCATCTTTGGGCCCATTTCCACAGCCGTGGGGGAGTTTGTATGCAGCAGGGTTGATTCAGTAGTCCCTTGGCGGGATGGGCATGAACTTTCTAGCAGCTCTTTCACCAGAGGCTGCGGTCAGAATACAGCTTTATTTAGGTAGGAGCCCTCTACCCAAGTTATTCAGTAATACTGAAGGTTGGGAGTTATACAAAGACCCCACAAGGCCTGAAGAGGGCTTTCTACTGACAGCAGTGCTCCAAGGAACACAGACTCCAAGGGGCATAGCCCTCCTTCCCTGGGACAAAGCCACCCACCTGCTATGGACAGGTAGAAATCCTTGAAATCTTTGATCTCTCTGGAGCCCTCACAGGCCGCGAGGCACTCATAAAAGGCCTTGAAGAAGTCAGGGAGGGCCAGCTCCATGTCTGTGATGGCCGTTCTCCAGTTTTCACCGTTGTAGGCCCGCACTGCTCGGATGAACAGGCTCTAAAAAGCAAGAAGAAGCTGAGAAGTTTGTTCCAGCCCAGAGGGAGGTGGACCTATCTCTCCAAAGGAACTGAGACCTTTACCACACTCTGCTTTTGTTAGCTCTGGAAAAGCCACCCAGACCTTCTTAAACATAAAGCTCATCTGTAATGGTGTCTTTCCCCAAGGCACTGAACATTGAAACCAGGGCCTTTACACTTAGCAACACCCCCCACCGCTTTACCCCTTTTTAAATTTTTAATCTTAAGACAGGGTCTTACTACGTTTGTAAGCTGCCCAGGCTGACTAGGCTCAAACCTGCCACCATCCTGCCTTAGCCTCTCAGGGTGCTGGGATCATACTCTGCCACATACCTAGTTTATAATTTGCTTGCTTCCTTCTTTCCTTTCTTTATTTCATTTTATTTGGGTGGGATGGTACTGGGAATCAAACTCAGGACCTCATGCTTGCCAGCAAGCACTGCACCAGTGAGCAATATCCCCAGCCCCTTCTTGCTTTATTTTTTAAGACAAGGTTTCACCATATTATTTAGGTTGTCCTTGAACTCACTGTGTAGTCCAGATTGGCCTCAAACTCATGGTGATCCTCCTGCCTCAGCCTCCCAAGTGCTCCCAAATTACACAGCTTGTAATTTGCTTTGTATCTAGATTTTTCTACTGTTTTCAATGGGTACAATTCTTTTTAGTTCAAAAAGCAGCCTGTGCTTGAAAACAAAAATCAAAGTCAAATCAAGAAAATAACAAAACTCAGGTCAGCAGTTGCCAGGAGTCAAGCACTGGAGCAAAAGCTTAGGCCAGGGATATAGTTCAGTGGTAGAGCTCCTGCCTTTCACACACAAGGCCCTGGGTTCAATCCTCAGCACCACCAAAAAAAAAAAAAAAAAAAAAAAAAAAAGGAGCTTGACTGCCAAAGACAAAGTGGAACAGGTAAGGGATGATAAAAATTCTACACCATGTTTATGAATTATAACCACAGATAATTGTCACAATGCATTGAATTTTACACTTAAGTAGGAAAAGACATCGTAGATACATTCACCTCAGTAAGCTTGATTTTAAAAGCTGAATTCAGGGAAAGACACAAGTTTGACAGCAGGTGCCTGACACCCTATTCCCTCCCACCATGAAGTACAAAACAGGACAGGCTGGTTATTGTGACAGTGAAACACAGGAGATGGCAGAAACTGTGCAGACTTCCTGCTCATTGTCACCTGGACCACATAAGGGACAGTACCAGGACTGAAGGAGCAGTTCAGTTTCCAAGAAATAAGTAGATCCTGGATACATGCAAAAACCTAACTGGAGGAGGCTGCAACACTCTTGAAGCAAGCATGGAACTCTCTATTCTGAGTTCCTTTTAGCTGCGCCTATATGGGGAATCCGAGGGCCACCTCTGGGATCTGGTATGTATGTATGTATTTTCCTTACAGTAATGGTAATTGAACAAGGACTTCCATCGAGTACATCTGCAACACATCTATTTAGTTAGTTAGTTAGTTAGTTAGTTAGCTTGAGTCGGGGATTCAAAGTGCTGCCCACGGTGGCCTCAAACTTCCCATCCTCTTGCCTTAGTCTTCTGAGTAGCTAGGATTACCTCACCCACACCTCACTGGGTGTGGATTACCACACCCAGTGAACCTGAACTTTTCACCAAGCTTAGACCTTCAGTAGAAAGGATGAAATTTTCTGAGCAAGCAGTGTCCTGCAGCAATAAGACAAGCAGAGAACCAAAGGAGTCTTTTCCATAGAATAAATCAAGGAGCATCTACTTGAGGCAGCTAACTTTGCAGAAGCAGCAGGGTAGCAGTAGCAGTAAGAAGGAAGCCAAGCAGAGTCAAGGAGCCTGAGTGCTCAAGAGGGAGCCCCGCCATACTCTGCAGGGCTCCAGAAGGGAGCAAAAGGACCTGCTGACTTCTATGACAGTGCTCTGACCACAGGGACCCAGCTCTGCTCCCCAAACCAAAGGCACACACAGTGAAGAAACAAAAAAGACACATGTCCTTTCTATGTGAGGACAGCAAAGGAACAAGAAACAGACAAAGAAATCTCAACAACTTTTGGAAAAACACAACCATCAGAGGAGAATCCAGAGGAGAAGTGAGATAACATATCCTGTTGGCACCTGTGGGCACAAAGGACGATGGAAGATGGAGGACACAGAACAAAAGCAGAGCTTAAAGTTCAAACAGGGGTCCTGGACGTGAGGTTCTTCCAGCACCACCTGCCCACACAAGCACTCACAGCTCTCAAAGCCCATCCTCACCAGAGACTGGCAGTTCATCCTGGTTGGAGACTCCATGCAGAATTTTCAAAGTCTAGAATGAGGCATAGTGGAGGCTAAGACACAGGAAACAGAAGTCTTTCTTTCTTTCTTTTTTTTTTTTTTTTTGTCTTTTTCCTTTTTATCGGTACCGGGGATCGAACTCACGACTGCCTGCTTACAAGGCAGGCGCTTATGCCGCTGAGCTAAATCCCAGCCCCCGGAAACATAAGTCTTCATGCTCAGCTCAGTGACCCTTGCTCCTCTTCCTTGAAAGGCTCTCAGCTACCAGCACACAAGCACAGATACCCCGGAAGCCCTGCAGAAGGCTGGACAAGTCTTCCCTGAAACTTGGAAGGCTCCTGGAAAAGGGTCCTTACCAATGAAACACTGAGCATGCAGTCTGATCACATACTGGAAACCATGCAATCAGGTCTTGGGATCTGCAAATCCTTGCAGAACCTTTCTGATAAAGCGAGCAAACCCCACACCCAGGTTCATCATGTTTCTTTACGGCATAGGTAAATGAAACTGGGCAGCTAAGTTTTAGATCCACATGCCTCCCATGCAAACCAAAAATAAGTAGTTATTGTAAACTAACTTGCAGACAAAGTAGGAACTGCCTTCCATATTGTTTCTGTAAAGACAGTATATTTCCTAACCAAGCACAGGATATGTCAGTCATATCACTGTATAGAACAGAAAACCTCAAGGGATTGTCTCATTTGAGACAACTGGTGCAAGAATCTTGACTTCTTTGTATTTGGAAACAAATAAAAAAGGAAATATGGAAGGAAACTTACATTTCTATTTTGTGTTTCTAGTCATTTTTTACACAATTTCTAAGGTATGTCTTTACCATCTGAAAACTAATCAGTCAAATGATCTATGTCTAAAATGTAGAATTTAAGGGAGAGTAGCTTTAAAATCTCCATAGATGCAAAAATTCATTTTTCAGACCCATTTGTGCTAAAAAGCCAAAACATTTCTGATCTCATAATGGTCATCAAATGTCACCAAAAAGTCACTAGAGGTCTTTGATGTCAACAGCCGTCCACTGATATATTTCTTTAACAAAAATTATATCACTAGCCATCCTGCAGAAGTCTGAATCTGCTGGCCATAGTGGCACACACCTGTAATCCCAGGACGTGGCAAAACTCCTGCTGAGGCTGGAGGATCACTGGGCATTCCAGGTCAGCCTGGTACATACAGTGAGTTCAAGGCCAGCCTGGAATTTATAGTGAGACCCTGGTCAGATAAATAGACAGATGTCTGCTTCTACCTCATATGACTTGGTTTCTAAGTCTTTAATGTAGTCCTCGGCCCCAGGCAAGCTCTTATAATACTCCATGTTTCTCTTCATCATTTCATCATCTGGATGCTTCAGTAGAAAGGTATGAGCTGCTGCAATGGCCTTTGGGAGATTATTTGCCTAAATATAAAGGAAAAAAGAAAACAGTTACTCAGTGGATGCTGATCAGTGAGTTTTGTAACAAGAATGTCTTTTCAGTAACCAGTAACATTTTCATCAACAGTCCTTCAGTAATTTTGTGTTTGTAACTGTTTGGCTTTTCCTTTGTGGTAGAGAAGAGAAAAAAAAAGAAAAAAAGCCTTTATTGTAGGAAGGCAGGGCTGAGGAAGAGTGTAAGATCTGAAACAAAGAAGTGGCAGGCTTTTATTAGGTTTGACAGGGGACAGACTTTGAAGGGGCAGGCAGAATGACATATTGACTGCTGATTGGGGGAATGCTGGCATGTTTATGAAAAGTGAGAAGTTTAATTTCAGCTTGGAAGAAGAAAATAGAATTTAACACTGGAGGAACATGCTGTCCCTCTAGGGTCCAACACCATGTTGGGAAGATACCTGCTGAGCCAGGCAGAGCCTTACATGAGCAGAGCCCATCATTACCATCTTTTGGTTGTTAGGGGTGACGACTCTCTGCTTCCTGCTAAATGGGGGTGTTATGGTGGGGGCTATTGTAGTTATTGGGATGACAGGTTGGACCCATGCAGAAGCTGGTGCCAGGGTGTTCGCCAGGATGAGAAGCTTTCTAGCAGTGAGGGCCCATATCATATCCTAGATTGAAGAAATCCAGGATATAAGTTTAAACAGACAAGGAGATACAAGCAAGAAAATAACAAGTAGCATGAGGGGTCCTATCAAGGGGAGAAGATGGGGTGCCACTCTCCTAGGGAAGACCAGATGAAAAAATCTTGGCAAGAGGTCTCTGGTTATCCTACAACATTTTTTAAATGTATCTTTTGATAATATTTTTCTGCTGAATGTTCAAGACCAAGTTACATTGAGACCTGTACTAATTAAAATTAACTTCTTGCTATCTATCGAGGTCAGTTAAGCTTTCTCAGGATTTGTCTTGGAACCATATATAGAGCCTCTCATTTCATGACAATGTCAGTCATCAGGATGAGTCACAGCCATTGCTTGACCAAGTTGCTTTCCGTGAAAGCCTGAGAGAATTTTTTCTCCTGGTGACTTCCCTTAGACATACTATATAACATAGATCACACTTTTTTATGGTCCCACAATCTCCTTGATTAGAAGGGACTCACAGACTCATAGGATGTCGCTGCGAAGATATTTTATATCTTGGGTCCTCATTGACCTCAGAGGACTGGAGCCAAAATATTGATTGTTCTTCTTGCCCACCTATCTTTTTAGTTATTAAATCTCAGTTGTTGAACATCCAGAAGAAAAGAGTGATAACATTACAGTGTAATAAGGGAGTAAGCTTAACCTTATCTAAATATAAAGTACCTTAGGGTTCAAAATAGAACTGTTATTTTTATCAATCATGGATGTCCTAGTACTTAAATCCTCATAGAATGTTAACAGTTACATGTTTTTACAGAAAATTTGAAATCAAAACCATATGTAATATTGTAGCATGACAATTATTTCGTTGTATAACAATATGAATTTGCAGTTTGACATGAAATACCCCTTTTAGTCAATCATCCCTATCTAATACATAAAAAGCTTTTATTTATGTAACTTGTTGACCTGTGGTGGGATTATCATACAACTTTTTGTTAAAGGCAGAGGTCAGACTCTGAGAGAAAGTCTCACCATAAACATTCCCTGTTTTACATTTTGGAGGTATGAATACATTTAATCACAGCCATACAAAAAAATCTTAATTTTTTAATTTGGTTTTGTGCCAAGAGCATCTTTTATGAAAAAAGTCTTAATTGTATTACTTTTACAAAACTTAGTCTTTTGATAATGATCAGTGTAAAACCCAATCACAACATTTAACCTAGTATTTTTGAACAATGAGAGCCTCTCAAGTCATGATATATAAACAACAGAATGCATTAAATTTAACCAATTATAGCAGCATTTTGACCAACTGGCAACTCAGGTGGAAGCATGCTTTTAGATCTATAACCCATATTAAAATTTGAACAAAGATCCCAAAATGCAAAAAAAGGTGGAAAAACAAGTGGCAGGCTTTTATTCGACAGGGGGTGGAGTTTGAAGGGCTGGGCAGAATGACATATTGACAGCTGATTGGGGAAATGCTGGCACACTTGGGAAAAGCGGGAAGTTTAACTTTGGCTTGGAAGAACATGGAAGTTAACACTGGAGGGATACACCGTTGCTCTAGCATCCATTTCCATGTTGGGCAGGTGCCACCTGAGCCTAGCAGAGCTTTGCACAGATGTAACCGTGTAACAACATCAGTAACAACATATCCAGTTTAGGGTTCAGTGACTTGGGGATCCACCAAGACCGTGTCTATCCCCTCAGCACGAGTGTCTCACTATGCCTTACCCTTCTACTTTCCCCCATCTCTGTTCCACTTGTCTCCCAAGAGGCCAGCCAGAGGGTGCTTTTACGATAGACTCCCTTCCCCTCCAGCTCCAAAGGGGCTCAGCAGTGAGGGCCTGAGAGAAGACTGAAGGAAGAACTATAGGTTGGGTTATTTCAGTTTCTGCTCCCTCCCTGCGGTCATGCTGGGCTGTGACATCCCTTAACTAAGGGTCACAGCATCTCTCCAAGAAGCCTTCTCCATAGAATCCTTTCAGGTTCCAGTAACTCTTTCTCCTTTGCCCCTTCTAACCAAGTGGTAGTGGTATGGCTTAGATCTAAAATGTCCCCTAAAGGCCATGTGGTAGGCACTAAATAATACTGACCAGATCATAAGGGCTCAAATTTCATCAGTGGATTAACCCATTATCAACGGATTTGTAAAACTGATGATATTATTGGGGAGGTGATGGAACTTAGGAGGTAAGGCTGAATAGAAGAGGCAGGTCATGGGTATGATGTTGGGTACTATTATCTTGATGCAGACCTTTGCATCTCTAGCTTCAATTTGTTCTGTCTCTCTCTCTCTGTCTCTCTTTCAACTTTTTTCCACTATACCCAACCTCCATGATTTTGTGTCACCACAGGCTAAAAGTGATACTGCCAACTGACCATTGACTAAATCCTCTAAAATCATGAGCGAAAATAAAAACTTTTCCTCCTCTTTAAGTTTTTGTTTTCAGGTATTTTGTCACAGTGATGGAAAGCTGACTAAAATAGAAGGTCATCTCCACTGGTACTAGACCTGGTAGACTACACTGCCTTTCACTGTTCCCCACATACTGTGTACCTATGTAAACAACTGTCTTGGTAAACTTCCCTCTGATTACTGTATCACATCTTTTCTGCCTGAAACTTGATACTTGCTAACATTTCCCCAAATTTCTCATAGAACCTTCTGCCTTCATTTTCAGTGACCCTTACTACATCCTCAAGTCACTTGTCCATTCAGTTGGAAAACACTTAAAGGTTTTTATGAAGGCACTGTTTCTAGAAAGTGGGTTGGTATTAATAAATAAAATGGAAAGATTTCTACCTTCATAAGCCATCCATTCTGAAATTCTCTCTTTTCCCTAATAATCTCAGCCAAGAGCCTCTCTTGCGAGATGCAACAATGCACACGTTAATCCAGCTACTTGAAGGCTGAGGCAGGAAGATTGCAAGCTCAAGGCCTGCCAAGGCAACTTAGCAAGAAGCTTACTCAAAATAAAATTTAAAAAGGCCTGGGAGGTAGCTCAGGGAGGTGCACATGTGTGAGGCCCTGAAGAGCCTCTTTCTGTTATCCCTGTGTTCTATTCACTTTTGTACCCCAAAAACGAGACCCCAAAATGCTGGTCCAAAAAACGGGGCAAGACTTCTTTAAAAGAAAAAGAAGCACTTTATTTAGGCTGGTACCCAGCGACACAGTGTGATGGAGTTTGCAAAGCTGTGCAACTAGGTTAGATTTTTGGGAGGCTTATAAAGGAAATAAACCACAAAGCAGGGGTATGAGGGGGTAAAGGTGAGGAGGGCTTTTGTTCCCTCTTTGATTTGGGGATAGAGCTTCTCCTTAGTCAGTTGCCTTGTGGAAATTTTCACGGATGGTGGTCAATGAGTTTCTTATTTACAGGAACTTGGAGACTGTGGTCTGCTAATTCCAGGAAACAACTGTCTTTCACAAAGGGGACAAAGGTTTAGACAAAATATAGGTAACTCTAGGTCAACTGATTCCAGGAACAACTGTCTTTCACAAAGGGGACAAAGGTTGAGATAGAGCACAGGGTTACCAGGGTAACGATGCATACAGAACAAGATGGCGGCATTTTGGTTAGAGTACAACACTCACATTTTACACTTCCCTGTATATCAGTAAATGCGTCTCTCTCCCAAACCAGACTGATCCTGGTAGAGCACAGCTGTGTCACTGTGTCTATACTCCTGGTGTCTGTACTGTTCTGGGACAAGGTTGGACACTGCAAGGAGCTGTGACTTGAACACAATGACATTATAACCACATAACATTCTCATAGTTTCCCTCTTTTCGCTTCCTCTTCTGCTGTCTGAAGCAATGACCAGCTGACTCTGAGTTTCTCTGACCCAGAGGAAGTTGGTGAATGGTAGAATGAAAAAGTATCCATGTGGCAGAAGCCCTATGCTCTTGGGAGAACTTAGCAGGTTTGAATAGAGACTGACAGTGGAGGACAGGAGTGGCAGGAAGAAGCTGATGGTCAGGGAGAAGAGGAACAAAGAGGAAAAGTTTTCCATCATGGTCTGCAGGAGCAGCAGTCTCCGGAGACAAGAGAAATTTAGGGCTAGCACCCTGGGCAGTAGTGCCAAGAGGGCTGCAGCCCTTGGGGAGGGACTGGTGTGTGGTGGGAGACCTCGTAAAGGCAGGAGGTGAGGCAGATGTCTCCCTGTGGGGATCTGAGCAACGGAGACCACGCCTAATTGATGGAATTTCAGGTGCACCCTCTTGCGGAAGCATGGTCATTGCTGGCTCTGTAGTCAATCTCACATGACACAGGGGACAAAGATTGAGGTTTCTGGAAAGAAAAAACTAAGGGGTGTGTGGAACTCTTCAGATTCCTGAGAATCATACAGTAGCACACATTTGTAATCAACTGCTTTCAGATTGCGGCAATGTTGAGGCAAAGGCCACTGCCCCATTACAGGGGACATAGGTAGACATGCCAGGCCTGACAGCTAAAAGGAAGGGAGGAGTCCGAATGAAGGCTTTTAAAGCATGCGCAAAGAAATTAGTCTCATTCTTGGAAGAGCATTTAAACAGAGAGACTACAATGGAGTATTATCTATTTATTATTTGTTTATTGTGGATTGCAGTACTGGAAATCAAACCCAGGGCCTTTACACTGAGTTACATCTCCAATATCAACAAACTTTTTTTGAGACATGCTCATACTAACTCTCTGTATTGTCCAGGTTGGTCTTGAATTTGTAAACCTCATGCCTCAACCTTCCAGAGTGCTGGGATTACAGGTGTGTGCCATGATGCCCAACTCTGAATAAGCTCTTTAAAACCTCTAGTTTAGGATATCTGAGTTTTATAAAATGTACCTTATCCTAACACAGAAAAGAGTCATTCTTGGGCTAAAAGTGTACCCCCAGCAGTAGAGCACTTGTTTAGAGTACCTGACACACTGGGTTCAACCCTAGCACTGCAAAATTAGTTAATAAATAACAATGGAAGCCTGGCATGGTGGCACACCCCATCACCCATTACTTGGGAGGCAGAGGCAGAAAGATTGCAAGTTAAAGACCAATCAAAATATAATAAAAAGCTGGAGACATACTTCAATACCCACCCTGGATTCAATTCCCCACTTCAGAAAAGGTAGGATAGCTTTATTTCCCTTCACTCCAGGCTCTGCCAGCTGGAACAGCATCTCTGACAGATCCCAGCAAGAGCACCCGCCACCATGCCATGGGTTCCCGAGAAGGGAAGGCCCCACATAGGTATTACATGGCAGGCCAGCCAGCTCTCTCCAGCTCAGAGTTCAATAAGCTCTACAGACTTGATGAAGTGAGGACCAGTTTTTGCTTTGTCTATGGGTAAAATGGGCATTTCATGGAAGATGGCAGCCAGGGAGGGAATCACCAATCATGTAGGGACCTAACGCACAAGCAACACTGCCCTTCCCTACACAATCACACATCCAAGCCTCCCTACCTCATTACAACATGCCCAGCATTCTGTCCTTCCTCCGGTCAGTAACTGCTGTGTGCACAGAACACATGTTCAGTCACCGAAATGGAGGCCTTGAAGCAGAACAGCACCATAACACTCTGACCCTGCCTGCAGACGCTAGGAGGAACAGACCTGCCTGCTACCAACCATTGTTTACCCACCCATAAGTCTGAGAATGTAAACATCACTGAGGAAAAACAATGATACACTGCCTCTACTAAAAATCACTTTTTCAGGGATAGCTTCAGCTGAAACAAATTGAGTGAACATTTAAGTTTATTAATAAAATCCTTATCTTTCCCTGTCCCATAAGAGATCTCAAAATATAGCCTGATGTGGTGGCATACATCTGCAATGCCAGTACTCTGGGATACTGAGGCAGGAGGATCCCAAGTTTGAACCCAGCCTGGAAAATTTGGTGAGTTGACAAGTTCCTGTCTCAAAACAAAAAGTGAAAAGTAAACAAATAAAAAAATTTAAAAAGCCAGGCATTTAGCTCAGCAGCATAAGCACCTGCCTGGTAAACACAAGGTCACAAGTTCGAACCCCAGTACCAAAAAAAAAAAAAAAAAAAAACATAAAAAAATAAGAACTAAAGAGACAGTTCAATGTGCTCAATCCCCAGAACAACAACAACAACAAAAAGTAAAACTCAAAATATTCAAACAGGTAGTGCTCTTTCACTTGAGTAACTGTTTTAAGTATTATAAAGGGTTTTGAAGAGATGGTACAAATAGCCAAACCTCTTGAAAACCAATGCCTTATGGCTACATGAAGTTAAATGGGGTCCCCTCCTTCCAATACCACTTCTTCAAATTCATATGAATTTGAATTTCTTAAAGAAATCACAAAGTCAGATGTAGTGGTGCACACCTGCAATCCCAGCCGAGGCATGAGGATCACTCTGAGTCTCTGGCCACCCTGGGCTACAAAGTGAGTTCAAGGGCAACCTGAAGTATCCAGTAAGATTCTGCACCGCCAAAAAAAAAAGCAAGAAAGAAAAAAAGAAATCAGAGCTTCTAGTATTCTCCATGTTTAAAAATAAAAAATGTCCCTTCCTTGATTATATGACTTAACTTGGTTTAGATTATATTTGCCAAAAGCTACACAAACAAACAAACAAACAAAAACAGTCAAGGGCCAGGGATTTAGCTTAGTGGCATAAATGCCTGCCTGGTAAGCATGAGGTCATGAGTTCGATCCCTGGTACCAAAAACAAACAAACAAAAAACCCAGACAAGTCATTTGTAGCTTTAAAAATACTGCCCGTATGAGCCAGCTGTTATTTTCAATGCTCTGGAATTTTACTAATCTCATCCCCGATTCTATTTTAAAACTTTTTCTTTTTTATTGCCAGGACAAACATTCACAAAACTGCTATTTTACATAAAACTGTAACGAGCCACAGAAATAAACCAGCTTTTCTAGAATTTACAATTTTCCCTAGAGAGTATTTTGTATTATTTTATTGCGTATATGAATGCAACATACTCGTGATTCTGCCTCAGTATGTTCTAAAAAACAGAACTAACTTATTCTCCAAAAGCTCAACGTTTTTTCAACCAGAGGAAGTAGAAGGGGCTCTGTGGGCCAAACCCTGGACCCACCACACTAACGCCTCCCCGTCCAGTAACTGAATTCCCGGCCCCTGCGCTGGGGATAGAACCCAAGGCCTTTGTACTGTGCTAGATCCCCAGTCCATTTTATACATTTGGAGCGTGGTCTCCTTAAGCAGCTCAACTGCCTAGGCTGGCTCCAGCTTGTGATTCTCCTGCTTCAGCCTCTCAGAGTGCCGGGAATACTGAATAGGAATGCACCACCATGCGCCGCTAACCCTAACCCTAACCCTTTTTAAAACTTGGTGAGCCTGCAGATTAAGGGCTCAAAGCTTTAGAAAACTGTAATTTGTGGCTACTTGGGATCAGCAATCACGGACAGAATTTAAGCACCTAGAAAAAGGAAGCCGTATTGTGTTAAACTGTAGATGAAAGAGAACAATCCCAGAGTCAGCCCAATGGATCACCGCAGCCAGACAGGGCTGCGTCCTCAAGCGCCACCTCAGGAAGTGGGGCCTGATGGATCCTCGCGTCACCTTCCGCTTCACCATGGCTGGTCCCACCTCCATTGTGAAAAGAAGGGTGTAAACAGAACCTACAGAAAAGAATCTGCCTCTACGTCACCTGAGGCAACGTTTATCAAGCCCTTTGCTGGGTTCCAGGCATGCGCTGCGCCCCACGCAATTATTCTCTACCTTTGAACAGTACTTCAAAAAACAGAGCGCTTCTGCTTACTTAAGAAGGCCCAGGACTCAGAGCCGATCTCCGGAGCGAGTCGCGCGAGAGTGCGCGCCGGGGGGACGGCCCCGGGCACGCAGAGGGGCGGGCCGACGGGGGGCGGGCCGACGGGGGGCGGGGCGACGGGGAGGGCGGACTTGCCTTGAAGTAGGCGAACTGCAGGAACTTGTAGGGCTCGCGGCGCTGGAAGTCCGCCAGTACTTCGCGGCTGGGCTGCGACTGGCGGAAGGCTGGCAGCCCCTGCTTGCAGCGCTTGAGGCACTGTGCGCGGCGCAGCAGGCCTCCAAAGAGGTGCAGCTCCGGGAAGCGGGCGAGGTCCGCGGCGGGCTCGGGCTGGGGCGCCGAGCTGCAGTTGCGGTGGCAGAAGGCCTCGCTGTCGCGCAGCAGGCGGTGCAGTCGCAGGCTGATTTCCAGATAGCCTACGCTCTCAGCCCAGTGCTCGCCGCTGTACTGGTCCAGCGCGTGTCTGTAGGCCGACTCGAGTGGCATCAGCTCGTCGCGCGGGAAGCTGCGGAAGCTGTAGCGCTCGTACTGGCCGCGCCCTGTGCGCAAAGCGCAACCCGCGCACAGCAGCGCCAGCAATGTCAAAGCCGCCCTGCGCCCCGGCTCCATCGCGGAGAGCGGAAGGGAGGAAGGAAGGAAAGGAGAAAAGAGAAGGAAGCAGCAGCGGAACGCCACGACGCGGCAGGCAAGGGCTCGGGAGGCGGGACACCAACCTCCGGCCCGCCCCGTCCAGCCGCCCCTCCCCACCAAACAGAGATCCTGGCGCCCGATGTGACTGAAAGGGTGCTTTGGGGAGGCGCTCGGCCTACTCCTCCCTTCTCTGTGCGAGAGTGGTACCCTTGCATTCATTTGCGTAGAGACCCAGATCTACAAGCAGAATGCGATCCTAATGTTCGTGGATTGGCGCTGCCTAGCTTAATCCCTTCGAGAACATGTGAAAAATTGAGATTCCTCGGCCTGAGTTCTGATTTAGCAAGCCTGAGAGTATCTGAGGATTTCCATTTCTGAACGAGCACTCTGGGAAGGATGGTGCTGCAGACCAATAGACTACAGTTTGAACAGAGCTGCAAGTTAAAGACCACACCTTATGACTTTGACTCGTTTTCAGAATGTGCTGGAGAAACTAGTGCATGTACATTGAAAGATATGAATGGAATGTTAAAAACGACACTTAAAATATTACTCAAATCTAATTTCCAGGCAAGTTCATGGTTGGAACAGAAAACTCCTATGTGCCTTAAGATTCACAATATTGTTAATGTCCTATTGAAGAACAGTTTGTGTACCTGAGGCCTACTTGCCCTTACATCTTTCAATACGTGCACCCTAAAAATAAAAGTACAGACAACCATCAAATTCAGAAAACAGGCATTTATAGAAGATTTTAATTATACATGTACTTTATACTAATTTTGCCAACTGTCTCAATAAGTCTTTTCTAACACTTTTCTTTCTGGGTAGATCAGGGTAGTTTATGGCATCTAATTGTCACCTCTATTTTACATCCTTTAATCCAGACTGGTCCTTCAGCTTTTGTCATGCCACTGGCATTTTTGAAGGATACAGGCAAAACAAAAATGAGGTAAGTGTGAATGAAGGAAATAAATATAGGTTAAAAATAGGCCACAAAGCTCAATTTTTGTCTTCCTTATTACCTGAGAGGTCAGAGCCACATTACTGCTGAGCCTTGCATATAGACATCGTAATCACCTCAGGGGTTTCTGTATTGCAAGGGTTGTTAGCCCTAAATTTACCTAGTCTACTTCATCCCCCTTCAAGACCCAGGACACCAAGATAAGAGAAAGTGAAGTAAGGTTCAGAATTTGTAGAGACACACCCAAATGCCATCTCTTTACATCTAACTCCAGAACCCTGGAGCAACACCTAAAAATTTCCAAACCTACAGTCACCTCAGATTACAGGGAAAGCAGGGCCTTCCAGACCACCCCTAAGGGAGCAGAGGCATCCCCTTCCCAAGCAAGAGCAATCATATCTATGAGCTACAAAACCAGAACTCACTGGATGCTGGGCCAATTCAGTTAATCCATGAAAGCTGCCCTACTCGAGGGCTCACCCCCACAGTTACTCAACCTGCAGTCTTTTTCCTATTCGATGCTTACTAACTGTGCCCAACAATTGTCTAAGCCTCAGAGTGACACATCCAGAAATTCTTTTTCCACAGTAGCAAACGCCTATATTTCCAGCACTTAAGATGCTGATGGAGGAGGATCACTGTCTAGATCAGCCTGGAGTGCATAGTGAGACCCTGTCCCAAAACAAACAAAACAAATAAAAAGCTACTTTTGGCAGGCCAAGTTGAATTCTCTATTACAGAAAGCCCTTCTGGACCTTAAGGTCTGGAAGAATCCACATTTGTAATTCCAGGGAAAAGTTATTGGCATTCCAATAAGTAATTCTAATCTACCACTTCCAGTACAATCCAGAGATAGACACTAAGGTCCTAAAACACAAAAGGGTCCTAAAACCAGCTACAAAGACGGCTAACCGAAACAAAGGCCTCAACTTAGGGCCAAACCCTGGTTTTATTAATTTGTGAAGAGAGGAGTGGCTTGAGGATGAGTGACTGTGAGAAATGTAGAAAGTACGAGTTCTGTGAGCTGGGTTAGGCAGGAAGCCTAAAATCAGAGAGAGATGCAGAAAGAGTACAGAAAGAGTTATCCACATATAACAGATTGGGGCAGCATCTAGTGTTTTGACTCAGTGCTTCAGTTTGATGTGTATTCATCATGCCCTGAGATGTCACAGCTTCTTTATCAAAGCTCAATCCCAGGAGACAGTGTGGTATCATTCAGCCAAGCTTGTCATTTTCCTTTATGCAAGCCAACTCACTCTGGTGAGTACTTTCACCTGATTAAAACTTTGTTACTTTTTGCTGTAGCATGCCACTTCCAATTCTTTGTCACATACAAGAACCTGGAGCCCTATAACAGGGCACTGTCACCCAAGGTAACAGTAGTAAAAGGATCACAGGTTGTCAAGGATTAAATAAAGAGAAGGAAAAACAGAAAACAGAGGATCTGAGGAGTAGTGAAACCATTATGTATGATAATATAATGATGAATACACGCCAGCATTTGACATATATGACATTGTGAACGAGCCACCATGTAGAACTGGTACAGGTAGAGACTGTGGAACTGAGTAGGTCAATCTCTTCCCTCCATTTAATTCTAAATGTCACCTTACTGTTTTTCCCTGCTTCTATTATCCTAAGAGAGGTGGAAGATAAAAATACAAAAGCTTAGGAAATCACTGATGCTCTATGCCTCTCCTAGCCTGACCTTCTAGTCACCCTTTCCTCCATTTCCACATCATTACAGGCTCATCAATATGCACTACATCTCATTATTAATATCAGAGTGAATTCTGGGATGAGCATGTGTGCTGAGAGCCCCTAAAATGACTCAGCACCCTCTCGATCACTCCTATTAATCACACCTAGAGTGGGAGAGGCCTAAAGCCGATGTGGCTGGCCTTTAAATTCTGAAAGCCTGATTTATATGCCCACTCCTTTTTTTTTTTCCTGTTGGTACCTTCATGTGCTTTTGAGTTGTGTGCAGTGCTTTTCTGTTACCCCGGTGCCTTTCTTGGTCTTGTTATTATTCCTTTTGCATATATTTGCCCTTGTTGCTGGATAGTCTCCTAAAAGTGGCTTGTCAAGTGAATGTTACCAGGTTTGTGGTGCTCACATCTCCTTCTAGAGTTGGAGTCTATGTTCTTCTTGTCTTGAACAAAGAATTGAATGGATTGAATTTGAGAATGTAAAAGTGAGTGAGGGAAAAACTGGCTCTGCAGAGTGAGCTTGGCAAAAGAAAAAGAAAAAGCTAGATAAAAGTATACCCCGGGGGACACAGGGTAGGCTCTTCGTGGCATCTGTGTCTTTTTATGCCATCTAAATCTTAAGGAAACCAGAAAGAATTTCTACATACAGATTCTAAGAGGTGGTGCTGGGATCCCATACCTCAGGTTGATGTCAGGTCTAGGCCATTCTGTTGAAAATCTGCTCCAGTTCCTGTGAAAAGTTCACTTTCAGGGCCTGGGAACTGTTCTGCATATGTGTTCTGGGATCTTGTGGTTAACAGGCCATGCCCACTATTCCAGCCAGTTTGCCACACCCAAATGTCCTGTCTCATCCTGAGCACAACTTCCTATGATCGGCCTTCAATAAACATTACTTACTGCTAGGTGGCAGTTCTTCTCTCATCATACTCAAGAACCTGTAGTATTATTGGCCCATTATACTGCAATAGACCATTGGGTAATAATGATGTGTTGGTGCAGTTCCATTAAATGTAACACAGACACCATGCTAGTGCAGGGTGTGGATAGTGGAAAAGTTGTCCTGAGTAGGCACAGGGTTCTATAAGAACTCTTATTTTCCTTTCCATTTGGCAATAAACCCAAAGTGAATTTTTAAAAAAAATTTTTTATCTAAAGAGAAAACAAAACAAAACAGAAAAAGAGTAGAAATAATACATACTTAGCTCAGTGGTAGAGGGCTTGCCTAACAAGCAAAGGCCTTAGGTTTAGTCTCCAGGAAAACACACACAAAGACACACACACACACACACACACACACACACACACACACAATACAAGTCAGTTATTTTATAAAAAGTTCCTCGTGAGGTTTGTCTGAAGCTGCCTCATGACTAAATTCTGATTATGCTACAGAAGCAAGGTTACTTCCTTCTCAACTAACACAAAATGTGTCCCCTTTGACACATTTTGATCACTCTGTTAAGTTCATAATAAGTGTTTATGTTAAAAGAGAGCAGCATTGTTCTTAGTAGCAGAAATATCCATAAATAGAAGATTGGATTTTTGGAAATGAAATAATTACATTACACATAAAACTGATCAATCTAAGAAAAAGAGCATAGGAATGATTATATCTCTTTAAAGTTTTAAAATATGCAAAAGACACAATTATTTATGAATACAAGTAAGTCTTACCCCATTTAGAACACAGGATAAAACTATACTGAAAAGGGATGGTAAACAGAAACACTGAATAGTGTTTTCCTGTGAGTCAGGAGGAAAAATATGAAGGAATAGACATAAATGTGCAGATGCTCATTACATCATTATTTTTAGGCCATATATATATTCTGTAAATATTATTTTATATGTTATGTTTTCATACATTTTTGTTTTCTGATATAGAATCCTTCTCATTATGCAATTCAGGCTGGTGCTGAACACACCATGTAGCCCTTATGGTCCTCCTCCTACCTCAGCCTCCAAAGTGATAGGATTATAGGTAGGCAGGATCATGTCCATTTATGCTGATATTTTTAATCTAATGTTTGTAAAAAGAAAAAAATCGACCTGAAGAAAATGAAACAACTGAAGAGGGTGGGAGTGAGATGACATTTAAACAGAGACTGAAAGAGGGGGAGGGAGTATGTAGAGAGAACTGAGCAGGGGCTGGGGATTTAGCTCAGCAGCATAAGCGCCTGCCTTGCAAGCAGGCAGTTGTGAGTTCGATCCCTGGTACCGATAAAAAACGAAAAAGACAAAAAAAAAAAAAAAAAAAAAAAAGAGAACTGAGCTCTGTGGTATAGAATGCTTCCTGAACTCCCTAGAGGCTGTGTGTGTGTGTGTGTGTGTGTGTGTGTGTGTGTGTGTGTGTTTTGAGACAAGGTCTCATTATGCAGTTCAGGCTGGCCTTGAGCTCACATTGTAGCCCAGGCTAGTCTTGAACTAACAATGATCCTCCTGCCTCAGCCTCCCCAGTGCTGGGATTATAGGCATGAGCCACCACT